TATGTAGATTATTTTTAAAATACAAATGAGGTATTAGATGTATATGTATCATATTTTTTATTCATTTTATTTTCATTCAAGTCCTGTTTGATTTAATTCACAACAGTCTTATGTACCTATATTTATGTTTTTTTTACATATTTTTTTTTGATTCCAGGTTTTGCGTGGGTTCCTGTTGTTTTTTTCCTGCTTCCAGTTAGTTTTACGCCCGTGAAGCTGTGAAAACATTTATTTATCTTCAAGTTTCTGTAAGTCAGTGCATTGTTACTTTACTAATTCACTTTAACACAGCTCTCTGATATTATTTAAATATTTTGATATTGTTACAGTAGTTTATGGGTTTATAGCTCTTTAATTGTGTTGATTTGCATATTTACATTGTTCTAAATTCCAAATAAATATTTTTGAGTAATTTTGTTGTATATTTTGTTGTATACTACTAGAAAAAGTAAAAAGTATATTAACCCTCATTTAAACCTCCTGAACAGCCCGCCATTAAAAACCGGAAACGGAAATAAATTTCATAAAATTGAAATTGTCATGTCAATGAAGTGTCTATGTCATGTCAAATGTCCCAGCCGCCATATCTGAAAATTAGTTACCCAGGCAGCCACGCTGTTTCCATAATTTAACATTGACTTGACACTTCTTGTATTTATTATTTTATGGGGTTACCTATATCCTTGATTATAGATGATATATTATATATAGACAAGGCCTATATCACAGAATATCTAGCTACGCAACAGAAAAATACTCGAAATGAAAGAGCTAAAATTGCACAAATAGAATACTAGATGGCGCGACAATGTCATAATCAGAATATAATTAGAAATTTTGAACTTTCGGTTTTGGATCGACGGCTCGTCGACTGCCTTGTAGCTCGGCTAAATATGCACAGTTGCCAGATTCAAAAAGACTTGAATTGGCATCCCTTTCTTTTTACTGTGTATAATGCAGTATGTGTTTCTTTCTATTCTTCTTTTCTTGTCAGATACACTTATATTAATTATTCCTTTGGCCATTAAAATAGTTTTAAGTATATTATTACAAAACATATACATTTTTAATATACACTACCTTATAATGTTAACTAAGAAAATACCTTTAATTACCTTTAAAATTAATAATATACAGGGCGATTGATAGTGATATTTATTAATGCTGGAACGTTAGTAATGAAATATAAGTTTAATAATAATGGAAATAATTTATTAAAATGCAGTACAAAAATGTTAACTGACTAAAAAATATTATAATAACAAATTTCTTCCGTTTGCCACGTTATTTATATAGACCTAGGTAGATTTTAAAAAGTGATAAAGGTACAATTAATAATATATTAGTTCGGCATAAAAGTTGCTGTCACGACATCGAACAATAAATTAAAATTCGTAAAATAAATTAAAATTATTAATTAAACAAATCTTTATAAAGAAATGCAAGTATACCAAATTTGGGCCCAATCAAACACCAGGAAATGATATCATAATAGTGTACTATATTATGGTACCACTTGCTATGCTTTTTTTTTAAGGTACAATAATATTGCAATGTCACCGAAGATCCGTAGTATACCAAATTTAAAAACAATCGAACGCCATGAAATGGTATTGTAATATGGTACTATATTACGGTACCACTTTATATACATCATAGTACAATCACATTACAATGTAACCGAAGATACGTAGTATACCAAATTTAAGCCCAATCGAACGCCAGGAAATGGTATCGTAATATGGTACTATATTAAGGTACCACTTTATATGCATCATAGTACCATCATATTACAATGTTACCTAAAATACGTAGTATCCCAAGTTTAAGCCCAATCGAACGCCATGTACGTAATATGGTACTATATTATGGTACCAGTTGATATGCTTCATGGTACCATAATAATGCAATGTCATCAAAAATACGCAAGTATATATCAAATATGAGATCAATCGAACGCCAGGAAATTGTATTGAAATATGGTACTATATTAAGGTACCACTTTATATGCATCATAGTACCATCATATTACAATGTAACCGAAGATACGTAGTATACCAAGTTTAAGCCCTATTGCCGCCATGTACCTAATATTGCTATGTCATCAAATATGGTACTATAGAAGGTACCACTTTATATGCTCCATGGTACCATGATATTACAATGTCACTGAAGATATAGTATATCAAGTTTAAGAATCGAACCCAATCGAACGCCATGTATCGTAATATGGTACTATATTATAGTATCACTTGATATGCTTCATGGTACCATAATATTGTAATCACAGAATATCTAGCTACGATTCTGTGATTGTAATGTCATGAAAAATAGTATATATCAAATACCGTATGATACCGAAAAAATCGGCGTCTAGTTGGCTGGAAAAGGACTATCGATGACATTTCCCATATAAATTTATATATAAAATGACAGCGATATTCATTTCCAAGCCATCGCTAACGCCGTTTTTTCCTGATTATACGATATGAACTTGGTATGAACACAATCGAACGTCAGGAAGTGGTATCATAATAGTAGAACAATACTTATTATATTGTCGCCGAATTACAATGAAAATTCAGGATTCAATTATACAATCAAACGTCAGGAAGTGATTGTAATTTAGCTCATGAGATTTAATTCCAACTAACATGGCAAATTGAAAAAAACAGCTCTGATCTATTTTAATATGTTTAAATGATGTAGCAAATTTGAAGGTAGGCTTTATCAGGAAGTATTACGATATGAATTACACAATGGCAATACTGCACAAAATTCTTTTAAATTTTGTTTGTAGAAAACTGTTTTCTTTTAAATTTATTGCCCTCTATTATGTAGTAGCGAAACTACCGCATCAAAATATCTGATTTGGAGACAGGCTTTAAAAGCCTGTCTCCTTTTGCTACCTACAATTTTATACATGTAACGAGGCTTCTGTTGCGTAGCTAGATATTCTGTGCCTATATTAAATAAGCCTAAAAAACTTGGAAATTTGCTGTTTCTATCATGCTTCTATATTTGCGTTTTTTTAAATAAAATTTAAGTTTTCGAAGTATCGTGTGTAGTGTTAGAATTACTAGATTTCTTCAACCTATGAACCTATACTTAAAATTGGGTTTTCTGAATTTCTATTTCATGTTTTTCGTCTCGATTTGTCTTTCTCCATTAAGTTTTTTTATGTAGAAATTTATGAAGAAATTCATAACGGCCAAACCGCTTAAAGTCATTTGCAGATAAATTTTGTTGTGCTTTAAAAAATTGGGTAATGGTGTGGATCCGGTGGCTGACCTTGAAACGAGTTTTTGCTGCATATAGTCACAGACAGTACGCATGCGCACATCTTCGATGTTGCCAGATTGCAAGTTATTTTGGAATTATTTTCAGTAGAAAACAAATATGTGCTTTTCAGTGTTTTTTGTCAATATATACTGTATGATCGAAAAAACGGCGTCCAGTTGGCTGGGAAATGACGATTGAGGACATTTCCCATGTAAAATGACAACGATCTTCATTTCATAGTCATCGCTGACGCTGTTTTTTTCAATCATAGTACGCCGGTATATTATTTATATTATTATTTTAATATTTCGCACAACACGTGAAACGTGAACGCTTATTATGTATTTTCATAGTCAATAAAATTAAATAGAAATAAAATTCTAGATTCCTATAATTAATCTAATTGCTCTAGATTATAATGATATGTTTAAAAAGTGCTTTATTAAAAATTCGGGGAATTAAAAGGGATGTGTCCAAGTTTTTTCTTTTTTTTAATTTTTAAATGCTGTAGCTCCATGTCATGTTCCTAATAGGTTTTTTTTTAACATTCCATCAAAACTATGGAGGCCTTAAAAGGCCTTTTAGCCTCCGTAATTAAAATTGTAGAATCAGCTTCAGCAACATTTACAGTTACCTTGTTTAATTCTGCTTATACATATATTGCATTAATTTTTCTGCTACCTTAAGATTTCTTTACTCTTACACCTAATTTATGTGATTTTCTTAGCATAATATGATTTATAAACCATATTTTTCCTAGTGGAAGGATGGAATAGGATATGTAAAATTAAGATATTTTAACATTTATTTTCCAGACAAAGAATAATATAGTATTAAGATTAAGACATAAAAAATATTATAAGAAATATCTTAATTTAAATCACAAACTAATTACCAACTAATCTTAATTTGGTCTTGTATAAACACAGCTATAAAACTAATAAGATCAAAACTCTACCTTCACCATATTGTCAAGATTTGGCATTATAGGTAACAAGAAATTACAGTTAATTAAGAAAAGAATATCAAAGTACACGATATTAAATGCTGTAATGTATTCTACGACACAAACCATCTCCCTTCTAAAGAGAAAAAGATAAAACATAAAGCTTATTCAGCTTATTTTAGTCTTATCAACACACTCTTCGATAAAATATATGTCTAAAATTACTATTAATCCACTAACTTGATATTTTTAAGAAATTATGATACAAACATTATAATCAAAGTATATTATATTAGTAACATTATAGGTAAGATGTTACCTCTATCTCCCATTGACGTGTATTGTTCTATAAGACTCGTCATGGTAGTATTTCAAAACATCAATACATATAATCAAAACTATTGTTGCCTGTAAATAACTAGAAATTAGATAACTTGAAAGAAATAAAATAATTCTAATAAGTTTAAAACCATTAAGAAAAAATCCGTACATGATAATTTTTAATTCTAATGTAAATATATAAATAAATGTTATTATTATTAGAATTTTATATATTCATAATATTTTCATTTCACAATCTTCATTATCCTTCTTACCTTAATTTTGAATATCAAGATAAATCTGAAATGATAAAATTAATTATAGAATTTGTATTATTATCGATTAACAGCAATTAACAGTCAAAAAAAATTTTCAACTGCAAATAATTCCAAAATAAACTGCAATTTGGCAACATCGACGATGTGCGCTTGCGTAGTATCGATGATCAAATGCAGCAAATATTGGCTTCAAGGTCAGCCACCGGATCCACACCTTTACCAAAAATTGTACCAAAGTGGTACCTTTTTAGTTTAGAATGTGGTACGCGATAAAAGTAGGGTGCGGCAACACTGTCTGTGAATTTTGTCGTTTGTGATTTACAAATACGTTTTAATAAAATAATAATTTTTAATTAAAACGTATTTGGTGATTTACCGTTTACCCCTTGTTTACCCGTTTACCCTACGTTTACCCATAGGATTAACCCATGATACGGATTAACCCATGGTCTCGGTCTAAAACCACAAATTGACTACAAAGTTAAATCTCAAGAAGCAGGATTTTCTTCAAATAATTTTATTATAATTTGTGATTATAATCGTTAATGCCAGATATATCAAAGGTAGAGTAAAGTTATTTTTGGATGCTTTTTTTATTAACAAAATTTTAGATTCTTCGACTGCTTACAAAGCATAAAATTTGAAAATGTTGAATACAAGAAATGATGAGACTAGGAAAAAGATTATAGAAATTTGCCAGACATTAGCCGAACAGCAAGAACTAACAGTAACAGTAACAGAATCTGCTAAAGGAGCATTAATAACTGGCATAGGAGTATTTGTTGGTGGTATTCTTTTAGGACCTTTAGGAATGGCTTTTGGTAGGTATAGATCTTAGAAATATGAACTACTTAATAATTATATGATCTAAATTCTGGTCTAAATAGTAAATATTTCAGTGTTAACACTATAACACTATTAATGTTGATTATTATTAGGTGGAATAGTTTCATCAGTCGGAGTTGCTGTCAGCTCTAAAGGAAAATTCCGATCTGTTGCAGAAATCATCAGTGAAATGCCAGAAGACAAGAAAGATAGATTAATAAATTCTTTAACAGATCTGTCAAAGAGTTTTAACTATGAAGATGTTCTTAAACTTTTAACCATTGCATTGACCTCGGCAGATGTCAACACAGCTGTGATAACGTTATTAAAAGATTTTGTAATAAAGGAACTAAAGCTACAGATAACCAATTATTAGTGATTATTATTTGAAAAATAATATTTATAAATTTTAATACTCTTGTGTCAGTTATATTGAATAATCAATAATCCAATTATATTATTTTATTTGAAGGTTTACTATTTTTTCTAATAAAGTCCTATACATATGACATGTGAATTGGTTTTTGAGGGAATTGAATCAAAAATAATCTGTAGATCAACTTTTTTATTTATAACTATTTAACAATAATATAATATAATTACCAGATAGGAAAAATGCATAAAAAACATGCATTTAACAGAAAAAGTCTAAATTTAATAAAAGAATAAATATAATAGTGTATAAACTTTTTGGCAATACCATGCTAAATTTTTTTTTTCAATAAATAGCAAAATCACAATGAACAAAAATTTACAAAAAATAACAGTAGAATTTAAAAAAATTATATAATGTGAAAAAAAATATGTACATATCTCTTCCATGATAAGTAGGTAGATAAAAATATAATATTTGACTAGAATATATTTAATGATCCAAAATACGCATATTGCCAGATACTATTTTGTTTTCCAAGATGGCCCCAGAAGGTATATCGATCCTGTCTCCATGGTTGGCAATAATAATAACAGTTCCCTAAAATTAATTGTATTTATTAACCTGCATCAAGACTGGAACTGAACTTCCGTATTGTTACAATATAAATTCAGGGTCGCTGATATGTATGGGAACGATTATTGGGTAAAATATACCTAATAATAACTGTAAACATAACTTCTGACAAGCAGTGTCCGTTTAGGTTTAACGCAGAAGTGTTTACAAAAATTAACTATTTTATTTTGTAGATTTTCTTGCAGTGCAGTGGCGAAATACCCATAAAGGATTTTTTGGGGGAAAATATACAAGGTACTGCAAAAAGTTAAATAGAGGTTTTTAAATGTCTATTGGTGAGTAATAAATTTAAGTATATAGGGTCGGCCATAAAGTCGTGGCACATCAAAGTTTAATTTTTTTTAAAGGGAATCCCCTGTATATTATTTATATTTCAATTCTGAACAAAAATCGAGACAAACAACGTACCTCATACCAACCGTTTCCAAGTTATTGACTTTTGAAAATATCACTTGCTCTAGATTATAATGATATGTTTAAAAAGTGCTTTATTAAAAATTCGGGGAATTAAAAGGGATGTGTCCAAGTTTTTTCTTTTTTTTAATTTTTAAATGCTGTAGCTCCATGTCATGTTCCTAATAGGTTTTTTTTAACATTCCATCAAAACTATGGAGGCCTTAAAAGGCCTTTTAGCCTCCGTAATTAAAATTGTAGAATCAGCTTCAGCAACATTTACAGTTACCTTGTTTAATTCTGCTTATACATATATTGCATTAATTTTTCTGCTACCTTAAGATTTCTTTACTCTTACACCTAATTTATGTGATTTTCTTAGCATAATATGATTTATAAACCATATTTTTCCTAATGGCGAAATACCCATAAAGGATTTTTTGGGGGAAAATATACAAGGTACTGCAAAAAGTTAAATAGAGGTTTTTAAATGTCTATTGGTGAGTAATAAATTTAAGTATACAGGGTTGGCCATAAAGTCGTGGCACATCAAAGTTTAATTTTTTTTAAAGGGAATCCCCTGTATATTATTTATATTTCAATTCTGAACAAAAATCGAGACAAACAACGTACCTCATACCAACCGTTTCCAAGTTATTGACTTTTGAAAATATCACTTATAATGTATCAACATTAAAATTTTGATGCGCTTAGTTTCATTTAACAATGCCATTCTGCAGAAACTGTGATACCTAATAATCTATAACAAAATTATATAAGAGTTTCTTGCCTTGAACTGCTGATATAGAAATTAATTCCACGCTGTGTTCGACATGGTGATACGAAAACACTACCATTGCACGCAGGCCGCTATCTTGCGATGCGGGACTTAATATCTTACCGCTACTTTACGACAAGTCGTATTTATATACTCTGCGCTGTGCTCGACATTTTGTGGAAACGACCCAGGCTCACCTGATGATGGGGTAGGGCCCTGAAACCGGTAGTGAGAGCAGGTTGATCCACATTATGTCGAACACAGCGTGGAATTAATTTCTATATTAGCAGTTCAAGGCAAGAAACTCTTATATAATTTTATTATATGCCTAAAAACTGTAAGAAATTTATTTTCCATTATTATAGTGAGATTAAATCAAGTCTGGAAATTACAAAATTTTCGTTTAACATTTCAAAATCAAAACTTCATAATAAAGTCGGAAATGGTTGAATCACTGGTCACGATGTGTATTTGTGTATTACGATTATTCTTTAAAACTGAAGGAAGAATAGAAATATGCAATAATATACAGGGGGTTGCATTTAAAAAAAATTGTGTCACTTTATGACCGACCCTGTATACTTAAAGTTACTAATACTAGATATTAAACATTTAAAAACCCTGTAACTTTGTATATGACTTTTTGCGGTACTTCGTATATTTTACCTAATAATCCACCGGTCTTATACATATCAGCGACCCTGTATATACATTTATCTAATATACACAATAATGGGCCCGAAACTGTATTCTCATCTATCGCACCGTTTAAATTAATAGTACGAGCAATGTCGTGAAAATAAATATTTTAAGAAAGCTGGCTCGTTAATAGATCATTTACTATGCTCTCTGGAACAGCATGCGGCCCATCAACGTTGTGTTTCCTACTGTGCATTGAAAGAAGATCTATATTTTTATTAGTCCTTTAAATTCTAGTATTGAATATAAACCGAGCGAGTATCCATAATGCAGCGCGTAGAGGTTCCGCCTATCAAGCGAGGAGTCTTAATATTTGTTTTTTTTTGAATCACTAGAATTTTATTGAATACTTTATTATCAGAATATAAACGAAAATAAAATAAAAAATGGTCTCAAACACTGAATCCTCGGTTCATAGTCGGAAACTCTACGCGCTGCGCTATGGAGATTTGTTCGATTTATAGTCAATACTAGAATTTAACGGACTAAATAAAAAAATAGGATTCCGATGCGCAGTAGTGAACGCAACGGGTATCGGCAGCAAGAGCCAGCTTTCTTAAAATACTTTTTGGAAAACATTGCTAGCTCTTCTATAAGCGGCGTGCCGCGGCGGGTTAGAAGTAAGAATATTGACATTTCACCCTTCCCTCTGCCACATATCAGTCCAAGAGGAACCGTTTAAAACTATTTACAAAACTCTAGGATTTTTTTTGCTCCGATTCGTTTACTTTGACTAGGCTATATATGATAAATAAACTCATTTAAAAATTAGTCAACGAAAAAATCGCCTGGTTCCCTTCTATATGATTAGGTAACTCTGTGTAAATGCATGCAGTAATGATTCCCAGATGACGTAATACGCCACGTACCGATTGTCGTATTTTTGGTTTGGTTTAGTTTGGTTTTATCCTACTTACTTTAAAGGACACTCCTCTACCGAAAGTGACATCTCCTGATACAGTCAAGTGATCCAACTCCAACAAATCAGGTATATTGGCGAACCTGTTTAAAAACTCCTGTACTTTGGAGAAATGGTTGTCACCTAGCTTGACCAATGGCGTAGTGGGGAACATTCTCTGAGGCGACATCAGAAGAGAGCCGTGTTTGAGGTTATACAGGTTGCTCATAACCAACAGAAGATCGGAAGTTTTTTTCACTGGCAAGAACCTGGATCTGGGAACGTTGATACCGATTCCGTTTCTGAAGGATTTCATAGCTGCACCTACGGCTGTTTCTAGTTGGATGATGTTGAGGCCTTTTTCAAGGATTTTGTTGTTGACTATGATCTCTAGGTTGAGGCTGTCTTCGCGTACCACCCTTTGAATGGCTAGAAAAAAGATAACACCATAAAAAGGAAGTAAATAAAAAAAAACGTTTCGTTGAAATAAAAATAACGTTGAAACTTTCACTGGAAGAATGCCTATTTAATTACTAATATATTAAAGGCCTAATCCCGGTTGCAATACTATTGAAAATACCAACCTTGGCGGTTTTCAATTATTGTTGCAAAATATACTGCAAAGAAGAAATTTAATGTATCAATGTCTATAACGTGTTTTTGCTTTACCCATTATCATATCTCCATCGTTATCTTACATGTTAATATCGAAACCACGAAATTTTGGACGAAAACTTGTCTATAAGCTTGGTGGATTTCAGTTGATTTTCAAAATTTCGACAGCAGCGCTCGGTGCGGCAAAATAAGAATTTTCCGGCTCTGTATTTTAATGACTAAACAATCCAAGGACAAATAACACCCAAGAGTAAATTGTTACCATGTCACCAAACAGTGCCGTGGCACATATTTTTCTTAACTTAGCTGTTTGAAGAGATATTTATATTTTTTGATAAATGTTTTGACTACACCTATGGTGTATACGGTGGTATATATATATATATATATATATATATATATATATATATATATATATATATATATATATATATATATATATATATATATATATATATATATATATATATATATATATATATATATATATATATATATATATATATATATATATATATATATATATATATATAGTAGGATCTTATATCTCCTACGCGGAGCAAAGGGCTTCAGTGAAAGCTCTCCATCGGGTTCTATTTTTGGCAGTTGTTTTTGCTTCCTTCCATGTTGACCCTACTTGTTGAAGCTCATCCAGTATGGAACGTCTCCGTCCTATGTATACGGTGGTATCATACTAATTAATTACGAAATAAAGTATTAAAATGTTAACAAAATATACAAAACTAGTATCGACGTATAGCACACATCAAGTACATTTAATATCAGAAAAATAATTATCGGATTCAATAAGAAAACTAAGAAAACGATAAAAAGGTGGAATGGACTGTTTATTTACCTATGAAACGTAACTCCTGGCTCTTTCTTTTCGCTGCGACTTTTACACTTGAAAGCTGAACAACTAATCACCATTGTAATAAAGTTTACAGCGCTTTCAGATGGAGCGGACCGTACGCACGGAGCGTCCGCGCGGGTGTTTTTTCAATATAGCTCATCCGGACGGAGCATACGCGATCCATGTGAAATTGTTCATATAAGCCCATTTTGGACGATTTTCAAAATTTCGACAGAAGCGCTTGGTGCGGCAAAAATCAGAATTTTCCGGCTCTGTGTTTCAATGACTAAAGAATCCAAGGACAAATAACACCCGAGAGTAAATTGTTACCATGTCACCAAACTGTTCAAAATTGTTCATATAATTCTCATGGTACTTGCTCGAAGTCGCGGACGCTCCGCTCCGTCTAAAAGCGCTGTTATGCAAAGTTCACTACACACAAACTAACAAACTACTAAAAATCGCTAAAATTGTCACTGATGACCAGCTGATCACTCATTAGTTGCCAAAAAATGGCGTCTAATGTCACAAATTCTGTTGCAGCCCGTATATGGGCGTTATATGTTCTCTTTTACGTTTACTGAACGTTACTTTAACCGTTACTTTAACATTTTTTTTGACAATATATTATTATTAACATTTGAAATTGTTTGTCACAACACAACAGAACGCCTAGTGGGGATTCCTTTTCATTTAATTTTTACTACCTAAAACAGCGTTACATCACACAAACCTCCTACCTGAGTGGTTCATAGTTTCAACAACTGCACTATTAAAAACTAAAATACTTAAATATTATGACAAAGCCACGATTTTAATATTATTTCAATGCGATCAACATCGAAAGTGCAGATCAAATACTTCTGATTTCTACCGTATCAAGCGCTGCCGGAAATCTTAAAATCAACTGAAATGCACCAAGCCTATAATATACACAGGATGTTTCCAAAGTAAATTCAAACGTTCAGGGTTGTGATCAATCAAATTATATTAAAAATATACCTTAAACACATCGAAAAAAAATTGTACCTGATAATTTTATCCATAAATTATTGGTGTTGAAGAACTTAAATGTTTTGACAGATTTGAAATCTTCTACGTGTTCCTTTGGCACTTGCGCAATCTCAAGCAGTCTCAGTCTATTTTCGTAATGTATTAACGTACCACCCTGTAATTTTAATGCTTTTTTTAATGTGTTGTATTTTAATGATTTACTTTTTTAGATTTGCAATCTTAAAGTTATTAATATAGAGGGTGTTAATATATAGAATATTTAAATAATTTTATAATATTTTACCTTAACATCTGCTTTCGTTTTGTCAGTAACTTCCATGACAAATTCGGGATTTTTGTCGTTGCTGTTTAGCAATACATTTAATATTCTTAAATCTACTGTAGCTCCTAAATTGTCTATGTTCGATATAAAACAGTAATCTCTACCTTCGGCAACGAATTTATCTAATAAACCCGAATTTTGAAAACTCCTATAATAAAAAAATACTACATGTAATGTCCTAGTAATTTCTGCTATACTTATTATAATTGTAAAAAAAAATCACTCCTAATTTACTTACTTCTCTGGCTATATTGGTGTTAGTCAATTAATTGAAAAAAAAACTTTTTTTATCAATACTTACAAGTAAAAATCTCCGTGTCCAGGTGGATACCATGCTTCCAAGTTATCATCTATTTGTGCTGATTTTGCAATGGGCATCAGAGAATCCCTATTTATTCTCGGATAACAAGATTGGTTAAAAGTATGAATTTCTATATTTAAGTTTTTGTATTTCCTAATCACTTTTTCTGTATCTTCATCTGTGTTGAAAGAATTCATTAAAACTAATGGCACGTTGACTTTGTATGTTTTGTTGAGATGCTTAAATGGTAAAGAAAAATAAGATTCAAGTGCATATTTAAGTAAAAACAAATCTACCTCTATTTGTTGTACTGTTAGATCAAGAAATGTGAGATCGTTCCGAACAGTTATCACAGATTTAGGGCCGTAACAACCCATAGAAGTACCTAGGCCACCATTCAGTTTGACCACGACCAATTTGTTAAGCATCTCGTGCAAGATGTCGGCTGTAGGAATTTGTAGAGTCGTGTAATCTATGACAGCATCAGGTGGCAGTTTTTCAATTTTGTTCCAGTCCAAAGATGGTCCAGATTCATCCAAAAATCTAAGGTAGATGACAAGTATTTGTAATAATAAATTCGAATATAAAACTGGAAGTTTTGTTTTCAACGCCATGCGTGCCTATACCTTCTAAAAAGCTCCGAGAATCCCTCGAATTCTTTTTTGACATGCTCTTTCTTAACGCCTTGGATTGTATTTGCCAAATTATCCAACTCTTTTTGTAGTAGCAACAGGGCATCTCTTTTGGTAGCTGCCAAAAACTGTTTGGAGTCGCTACCTGTCCTATTGTGGCCTTTAACCTAGAGTTAAAATAAATCAATAATTATGATTTTTTTAATAAAAGAAACTTTACGCACTAAGCTATCCAAAAGAAATGGAACATTTTTAGTGAATTGTTTTAAATCGACATTAGTGCTCTTGTTATCTGTATTAGTCACATTCTGAGTGGTTTTTGTGACATTTTTACAATCTAAACATTTCCTTTCCATACAAAAAACGAATAATTTACGGCAAAATTTTACATTTTTCGATAAATAAAAATTGACAATAAAATTGTCAAAAAATGATTTTATATAACAGACCATTTACCATAGATAAAGGAAAATAAATTCCATTTACAAATTGATACCGGATTATTGCTGATATAAAATATATTAAAAAAAAAATTAAATCTAACAGTTACAACAACATTTCAGTTATTTATCAGTTTTTAGATATCTCAATATCAAATTCTCTTCCAGACACTCATAAAATACAGGGTATCCCAGTATTTCCTCAAAGGTTAGAGGGCATCAATCAAAAATAAATCAATCATTAATTAACTTAAAAATTATTATCAAAGCAAAATCTTTGAAGGCGGGTAAAAGGACAAATAACTCACAATCTTCTTGAAGAGTTATACAATTTATAATTACAATGAACGAGTTGTGTAAATGTTAACAGCTCTAACTAATTTTATTTCTTCCGAGTGGTTGTATTTATACTTCCTATGTTGACTTTTGTGTGAGTATGCTTTTATTTTAAAGAACACAAGTTTAATTGAATTAAAATAAAAAATAATTCTTCTACATATATAAATTAAAATAAATATTAATTTTCTACAATATATAAATTTGAAATATAAATTAAAATTCAACATATACTAATTAAAAAATAAAAAAAATAAACATAATTCTTAACTTGTTCCTAACTAACACAACTAAAAAAAAAATATCCTACAAAATTGAATATCAGCATATACAGATTGAAATAATTAATTCTCAACTTACATTACTAATACAAAAAATAAATAAAAAATATATCACTCAAAATACATTTAACTAATGCTTAAGTAAATTTCTTTGAATTGTGCATTGAGGTATGATTTGATTATTGCCTGGTCCGTTTTTTCTTTCAATTTATCTAATTATAGCTGATTATACGGCTCCCCTCACCTTATGATTCTGGTCTAGTTGTTTTTAATTTTTCAAATTTAGCATACCATATTGTTATCTGTGATTGAACAATTTTTGTGATAGATATAACTTTTTGACTTTGTATAAAAAAAATTTGACTTTTTAACTTGTGATTGTATTTTATAAATTTGACCTCTGTAATTGTTTTAGATTTTGGGCCTGATGATGGGAATAGTTTAAATTCCCGAAGCATGTCGCCCCCCTTGCTTTTTGAAGCATTAAAATTTAAATTAAACAACTTAAAGATTGTGAGTTATTTGTCCTTTTACCCGCCTTTTTTTAAAATTCCATATTTTCGCCAACCAGATTATTAAAACATAAAAGATTTTCTGCGCCTCCATAACTTAATGTGACAAAAAACATTTTTTGGAAGTCGTCTTTGGAAAATATTTTTTTTTCCTCAAAATGTATGCACGGTGACGAATACTAGAGGGTAGAGGGGCCCTTTTAGGGAAAGAAAACCGGCCGTTGTTGGTGGAGTTGGCGGTTGAATTTTGTGAAAGTCAAATGTTAGATCACTTAGCAAAACATAGACACCCATAATCTCATTCAAATCGGAATAACGGTTCTTAAAATATCTGATAAAATGTGTTAATTTTTTTTTAAAGTTTGGTTGCCGTCTGGCGGACAAACAAAGCACTTTTGTATAGAGGTATGTCCAATGAACTTATTTTGATTCCAAAAATACGTAGTGGTTCTCTGTCTACGGAGTATTGGGACACCCTGTATGTTCAACAAACCGTTTAATAATATGTATTTAGGATCTAAGATAAAAACGAAAGTATAAAAATAAAAATAAAACTAAACCTAAAAATGAATTAAAAAATATAAATAGTAATCAAATTAAAACTAATTTACTGTTGTACGTACAAAGCCAACGACAAAGACATCAACTCATTAAAAAAAATGATCCAATGACCTCTTCCACTTTATAATACTATTTAGGCAAATGATAAACAACTATAATATCCAGTGATACACAAAAATAATTTTATTGTTTTTTATTTTAAATTAGTTAGTAGAGCAATGTACTGCGATCCAATCACTTTGTAATATACCTTACAAAATAAATATTGTATTTTGGCTCATGCTGCTGTGGCTATTTATGATAACCTTAGTATAGGGGGTATAGTAAATGACGTCACTAAAACGTTAAGTAAAAATATATAATAAGAACATAATCAATGCTAGAATTTTAAATTAATTTTATAAATTAAATCTATCTATATACAAAAAATAAGGTCTATTATTTACATAAAAGATAATATAACAAATTTGCGAACAATAAGGATAAGATTTTTAATTCAGAAAAGTAACAGAGTAAAATTATATAATTCAAAGCCATAAGTGAATTAAAATTTAAAAATATTAATGTTAATTAAATATTTTAGATTAAAATAACATTATAACCATCACCCATAAACATTAATTGTTTGCAAAAAGATTACAATAATATAAAATAAGGTGCGAATTAAAGCAAAAACATATTATACGAGATAATTTTATCTATATATGATATAGATTCGATAAAATCAGATAAATTGGTTTGATAGAGTTTACAAAAAAAATAATTAAAAAAAATAATGCGTCTACTATATTAATATATAAAATATAATAATATAATGTTTTGTTGCTTACGATTTCTAGAAGTGTAGTCATAATATAAAAATTACACAAGCGTCGTGTGGTACATCAATCAAGAGACAAAACTACTACTAAACTTGGTGATAACAGCACAGCACGCACTCAAAGGTCTTATCTTTTAATGTGCTATTTAATAAGAGGGAATATATCGTAAAATTCGGTCATTATACAGAGAGTAGAGGAAAAAACAAATAATCATAATGTTGGACCATTAAATGGCCATCAAGTCTAACGCGCATAGGAGACGCGTAAAAATAACTTAATATATAAAATCATTAAGAAAAAATGTGTATGCTGTGTGACCTCCCAACGAAAAAAATCAAATAAAAAGACCGAATTATTTCTTGTATAATTTTATTATTAAAAAAACCTTCGGAATAATAAGAAATATATTCATCAATTCCAAGTTTAAGGTAAGTATTGTTTAATCATCAAACATTTGTTTAAATGTATTTATTTAAATTGTAAGAAAATATCCGAAAAGAGAAAGTTAAAAAATCAAACTTAATATACATGGTGTGAAAATTTTGATATATTTCAAAACTTGGAACGAGAGATAATAGAAATAAATAATCAATTAAATATAATTTTAAATAAATCGCCAAAAAAAGAATATATTTTCCTTTTTCAGTGTATAAAATCATATTATATGCAACCAAACATACAATAGTATTTTTTATTGTCAAAAGTACAGTCACAGCTCATGTCACAGCTTATTAATAACCAGCAGTGGGATTCTGTAAACTCCGTAGCAAGAAATTTCCTGTCTAGCCTATGTTATTTGTATACGATTGATGAGTCACTAGACAGGAAATATGTTTACAGAATCGCTAGCCAGAGGCCCGATTCTGTAAACATACATATTTCCTGTCTAGTGACTTATCAATCGTATACAAAGAGCATAGGCTAGACAGGAAATTTCTTGCTACGGATCTTATAGGCCTGGTGCATTTCAGTTGATTTCAAGAAATTCCAAACAATTGTGAGTTTGTGTGGAGTAAATCGTTCGGAAATTTTAATTAATTTTTTATTTATAAAATAATGTCCAAAGATTCGACCACTGCAATGAAATAACAGGAAACTACGCATAACAGGATCATAAAAGAGAGGATAGGTAAGTGAGTTAGTGAGTATACAGTTGAATAATAATTATTATTGCAAATTATAAACAAAAATAATAGGGTTATGTTATAAAATTCTAAACAAACACAAAAAACCGATCGATACACGCACGCTTGACACTTTTGACAATCCCGAAAACAATCCACAAAGCGTTCCAACCAATGACTAAAGAATCCAAGGGCAAATAACACCCGAGAGCAAATTGTGACGATGTCACCAAACAGTGCCGTGGCACATATTTTTCTTAACCTAGCTGTTTGCAGCAATATTTATATTTTTTGATAATCGTTTTGACTACGCCTATGGTGTATCATCCTAATTAATTACAAAAAAAACGTATTAAAATGTTAACAAAAGGTACAAAACTAGTATCGACGTATAGCACATATCAAGTACATAGAGATGTTAATTGAAATTGAAGAACAATTATCGAATTCAATAAGAAAACGCTAAAAAGTTGGTGTGGACTGTTTATTTACCTATGAAACGTAACTCCTGGCTCTTTCTTATCGCTGCTGCTTTGACACTTGAAAGCTGAACAACTAATCACCCATTGTAATAAAGTTTATACAAAGTTTACTACACACAAACTATTAAAAATCGCTAAAATTGTCGCTGGTGACCAAATGATGACTCATTGTTTGCCACCAAAACAAAAAAAAGGTCACAAATTCTCCTGCAGCCCGTATAGGGGCGTTACATGTCCTTATATTCTTTAGTCATTGGTTCCAACGTTGATAGTTTTTGCACCGTCACGAAACTATTCGAAGTCCGCGCATGCTAACAAAGTGCAAGAAAACCGATTCGAGTAGGATTTCGAAACGATCACGAAATGCTGATGCTGGTTGGAACAAATCTAAAGAATCTCTATTAAATGCTTACCTTTTCAATTGCGAATTTCGCCAATTATTTTATCAGAAATGTTTTGTCCAACAAACATTTTTTGTTTGTTTTTAAGGTGAGCAACTAGTGTAGTTTATATATATATATATATATATATATATATATATATATATATATATATATATATATATATATATATATATATATATATATATATATATATATATATATATATATATATATATATATATATATATATATAGGGTATTTTGAAGTTTTCAAAACACCACTGGCACTGTATGGCCAGATGTCCCCGTAAATCTTAAAAATAAACCAAACCATTGTGCGTGGTCATGTCGATCGCATTAAAATAATATTGAAATCGGGGTTTTGTCGTAATATTTAAGTATTTTACTTTGTAGCTAGTGCAGTTATTGAGACTATAAAACACTCAGGTACGAGGTTTGTGTGATGAACGCTGTTTCGGGTAGTAAAAAATAAG